CCGCCGAGGTAGAGAGAGAGAGAGACAGATTGATGTTTTTCTCATAGGCGGACCTGTTTATTATCATCACAGTAAAAACCATCGCTTTCATTGCCTCCTCTGCTCTTGTAGAGAACGGATGTGTGTGGTCGATCCATGGAAAGAATGCCACTTTTTTGCAGCCATCACGAAGTGTTTTTTCTTGATATGCTTCTTCGACTAATAGATGTCTAAATAGTTCTTTATGTAGAAAAGACCTGAATCTTCTATGCATTTTGGAGAAATCATCCGAATACGAAGATCATTTATAAGTGATTTGCTGATTCGACTGAGGTTGTGTTTCGATTGCTCGAAAACCAGTTATGATCATATGTTCGCATTCTGTGCTTCGAGACAAATAAAAAACAGTGTTTCTCAAATGTTTCCAACCTCTCAGAAGATATTAGATGGCTTACAGTATATACAATAACTGACCTTTAAATGAATTATCGTCGAAACTTTTCTGGCTTTTTCTATGGTGAATAGAGTGTAATCCCGAGAGAATGAAGCTTTCTGTTACTTTTTCTACTATCAATAAAATCTACCTCCATAGCACTCCAACCGTGATTCCCTTTGGTTGATTTGAAATGAGAAACCCGAATTAAGGCTATGGGTTTCGATGTGGCTGTGGGTGCTGGTTTGGGTGTGGATGGGAGTGGGAGTGAGTGTGAATGTCGGTGTCGGTTTTTGGTTGTTCCTATGAATTGATGTCAGTGAATACTTCAATTCTATTCATTCACACCGCCATCCAATCCTTCATCCATATACACCCTGTGAGGAATATCCAATAGTAACACATCCGATTTGTGTTCATTATAAATCTGTGAACTTCAGAAAAAATATTGTATTTCGCAATCGGTTAGGAGTAAAGGAACATCATGTCAATTTAGATCTCTTCATATTTTCCAGTATACACGAAAGACAATACTAAATTTTTAAAAGATCATCATCTATTATTGAAAGATTTGTATTGAAGTATCTATATCCTCTATAGTTTTGCTATTCCTAATTCAAAAGTATATAAAATCAAATTTGACGAAATACTGTTCATTTAACACGGCATTTATACTTGAATGTTTTTTACTTTTACTTATTTTTTTTTTCTCTTATCTCTCTCTTCTCTTTATCTGAGCTACATACACTTATCTCTGTTCTCTACCCACTCTTATCCATTGTGTACGTCTTGAGAAAAAGATGCCTGCAAAATGTATTTAAATAAAAAAGCAATTAGCTAATTTATTCATCTCTTAGTGATCACTTTTTATATTGTATCATAGTCTGTTAACCGTACGGATAACAATAAACGTAAACATTAAAAAAAATAGAAAACAACTACTACGTGCACAATATAATAAAATATTTGGATATGAGTAAGGGATCTTGTTAATGAGTAAAGGAAGAGAAAGAGGTGAGTAGCGCCATAGAGTCCTATTGTTCAGCTGCCATTGTTTCACTATACGATCACTTTTTGCTATCGAGAGCTTTTAATAAGCCAAGGGTTGGCTCGACTGATTTCACATAAACATGAGATCTTAGATGGCCGAGTTCATCGAGAATATGATCAACCACATCCAGAAACATTTCCGAACCAGATATGTAGATATGGGTGTCTGGTTTTACCTTGTCTTGGAGATGGCTCTTTGATATTTGCTGTTCTTTCGTTAAGAGTAAATATTACCCTTTTGGAAGCATATTACGTAATTTGTCAGCAAAGACAGCACGATCTTCAGTTTGAGCACATTGAATTACTGTTGCCGAAGACGATTTTCCTTGTTTATCTAAGAGAGGGTGCACGACTCCATCGAACATGGTCATACTCTCGAAAAACTTGACCCCTATGTTTTATGATTGCAAATGAAAGAACAGAGTGAGAAACCTATAAATCCAAAATTTTAGCTCATTCTGACTTACTGATAAAAAGTTATGGAGTACAAACTGAAAGCACTCTCAACAGGTTTTGAAAACAAAATTTTTTTTTTGAAAAATTTGGTAAGTCAGTATTTGAGTGTGGGTGTGGGTGTTGATGTGGGTGTGGGTGTGGGTGTGGGTGTGGATGTGGGTGTGGCTGTGGCTGTGACTGTGGCTGTGGGGTGTGGATGTGGGTGTCACTATGCTTATCATCCAGACTCATACCCACACCCACACCGACATCAACACACCCACACCCACAAACTTTCGCACTAATTTTTTCTTTGAGAACTTCCATTCATCGAATTCACTGGTAGCCCAAATCGATTGCTGACTAGGAGGCTCGCAAGATTATTTTTTTAAGGCAAAAGAAATATCAACATGAAAGGTAACGTTTGTTATGAGAAAAATCATCAATCTGAGAAGCTTGAAAAAAAACATTGAAAAGAAAAATTTCTTGTTTTTACTACGACATCGAAATGGAAAGATTTTTCTATTGATCGAATGAGTCAACCAATATGCATTTGTGGTGTTCTGTATTACAATTCTATCACTTCACGTGCATTTTTGGCCAGCAAAACGAAATCAACGTTCCTACTGCTTGTTTTTTTTCCTGTCGTCTTGAAGAGAGACTCTATGTGTGTCATATTCGAAAGTTGGGGGATTTGAACATGCCTAGAGATTGTTTTTCTTGCTCAGTTAGTCTTGAAAATAGTCAATATTACTCAAGAAATGGTCATTCTTATTGTCTTAGCTGCTACGAAATCCAATTTCGTCCAACGTGTAAGAAATGTTCTCAAATAATCAAAAATGAACAAAAAGTAATTGCAATATGACTTCCTAGTTTCTTATCATTTATATTCTTTTCATAGGGATTGAAGTGGCGTAATACAGATTGGCATGACAGCTGTTTTAATTGTACACGATGTAACAAATCATTAGTTCAATATTCGTCGTCATACTCCAAAAACAATCTACCTTATTGTTCGAATTGTTATGAAATGAAGTTTTTACCAAAATGCAACGAATGTGGAGAAACTATTGAGTTCGGTAGAAATTCGAATTTTTTAGTTGACAAAATATATCTTCTTCTTATAGGTGAGGCATATATAAATAACGATGGAGATAAACTTCATAGACGCTGTTTCAAGTGCTCTTCTTGTAAGATATCATTGGGTAATCAATCCTATTACGATCACAATGGTGCTCCATATTGCGAAAAGTGCGATAATGAACAGTTTTGTCCGAAATGTGCTCGGTGTAGCGCAGTTATTCCACGAGGTATGAAAACATTCCTGTAGAATCTAATGGATCTGAACACTTTCTGATTGATTTTTCCTACGATAGTTTCTGTAGAAATTTGTAACAATCATTAACACCTGATTCCCAGTGATTTCAATGGCTGAAATATGTTTTTTACATTATAGCTGCCCGATATACTACAGTGGATGGCCAAAAAATTCATGAGACATGTTTTACGTGTTTCGCTTGTGGGAAAATGATTGGAAGTACTTATCAAACAAACCACGGTCACCACTACCATCCATGGTGTGTTGATAATTCGCACGTTCACTTAATGACTTCTTATCCAGTACGTAGAATTTGTTCATACAAAAATATTTTTTGTTCATTATACTTTTTCAAATAATCATTCATGCTTCCAGTTCTCACAGACAACAATCCAAAGCAAATCGAACATAGGAACCTTACTCGACTTCACTTCAGAAAAACCTAAACACAAACAGACTTCAACTCCACTTAATGTTTCTGGTAGGTACAATTTTTCTTTCATTTAATCTATTCGAATTCACATTCATCACTGTAGTTATTTTTCTCTATCATTACAAAAAAGTGTCATCGTAAATATTTTAACTCTTGAGCACATGCAGAAGCCTTCTCACTCTTGAATCACGGTTTTCTGCATAAAGTATGCAACGAACTGATTGATTCATCTATAACAAGTTCGACTAACAGATTAAACCCCAAAACAAATTTCGGAAGTTATTACTTTCGTGGTCAGAATAAACATTTTGGAAATTCACTGTTTGTTTTAATCCTTTTCTCGACTAGTTAGAAGTCTAAGTGAATTGGTTCTTTATATTTGAACATATTGATTTACTTGAACTACCTGTTACTTTGCATTACCTACTCAAGAAGTGTGGGTTACAACAAAAGCAAAATAGATTAATCGATAAAGTTCCGTGCTTCGAGAAGTTACGGATATGTAGATAGTGGCACAGCACGAACGTTGCCTTAGGATGTGGGTGTGGGTGTGGGTGTGGGTGGGTGTGTGGGTGGGTGTGGGCGGGTGTGGGTGTGGATGTCGATGTGTGGCTGTCGGTGTCACTATTCTTATCATCCAGACTCAAACCCACACCCACATCCATACTTACACCCCACATCGGGGAGACACAGTTTTTGTGTAGCAACCGATAGAGCGTGAAATTCTCTGCCGATTAGCCTATTTTATTTTTATTTTAACGCAAAGTTCTTGAGTACGGAATGCAAAGTACTAGGTAGTTCAAAACGCTATTTTCTTCATTAAAAACTTGTTTTAGCTGTGATAAATAGAAGGAAGGGTGAAAACGATGGTCAGTTTCTAGCGAAAAAACGGCTGATAAGCTAGGATCATGGATTACAGTGAGAAACGGTCAACTTGGAGGCTTTAAAGCGCTGTTTTATATTGTCCTAGATAGTTTCTAAGTATAATATATTTTCACTTACAAAATTTGACGAAGCTTAAATATCGTAAACTCTACTAACACGAACTGCACTATCCAAAGCTGAATTGTCGATGAATCTTTCTCTCTAGCCGAACTCATCCTCATTCACACTCACCACAAAAAATGTTTGAAGTTGAAGATGCATATATCTTTGAAAAGATATGGTCCAAGGTTTAGTTTTCGTTTCATAATTGAATAAGATATAGAAGAATTCCTTTGCATATCTTTCATTTATCAATGTGAGATTCTGTTGTGTTTGTCGATTGATTATTTCTTATTTTAGAAGTTAGCGAGTTCTACAATGCCTGTCGAGATAATAATATTGATTTAGTTACAAAGAAATTGAAAACAATGTCAGTGGAAGAAATGAATCAAATCGAACCAAACGGATCTACGGCACTTCATGTGGCTTCGTATCGAGGACATGAGAAGATTGTTGAACTATTATTAGAAAGAGGAGCTTCTCATTCGATAGTAAATAGATACCAAAATACTCCGCTCGACGAAGCCAAAACGGAGAAAATCAAAAAATTAATTCGTGGTCGGATAAATAACACTCGTTTTGTTAGTGAATCTGTCGAATGGATTCTTTCAACAAATGATGCAGATTTTCAAGCAAATAAATATTTAAAAAAACTAGAAACATATGGAAAAGATCCGAACTTTGATCAATTGATTATTCATATCAAAGAAAACTACCTCGAAAAACTTCTCAAATGCGTTGACGATCTTCACAAAATCCAAGAAAATTTTGATACGGCAATCAAAAAAAAAGATCCTCTGCATCTATTAAAAGCTTATACAACTGATACTGGATTTTATTCTGCACTGAATATTGATTTAGCAAAATTACGTCTCGAGAATTTAACTGATAAGGAGAATCGTGATCGAGCATCTTTTATTGGAATAATTGCACATCATCCTAAATTACAAAGATTTTCATATACCGGAACTGTATTTCGTGGAATGATTATTACCAATGATGATTTTGAACAATACCAAATAGGTACACGAATCTTAACCAAAACATTTTCATCGGCATCGAAAAAGAAAAATGTTGCATTAAGATTTCTTAATAACAATCTGGATAGGAATGATCGATTAAATACAATATGTGTTTATCAAATACGGAATGAACGAACTGCATTATGTATTGAAGAAATTTCCGAATTTGAAGATGAAGAAGAAGTTTTAATATTGCCATATTCAGCATTTAAAATAATTGATATTCAAAAGAAAAATCACAATTCACCTCAAATTGAAATAACTTTAAAAGAATGTGAGCCATGGTAGATCATTGACACTTTTGTTTTTCTATTCCCATCGAGAAGATTGAATTTTTCTACAATTTTTTTTCACGAAACATCCAATTTCTTTTCAATCTTTTCGAAAGTCTCCTGAACTTTCCTATACCCGTTGTTTTCCGTTCAATGCCTTGGTTTCTTTTTATAAACATGATTTTAGATAAAACTTTCAAAAGAAATCAATTTGGAAGTGAAATTCACAAAAAGAGAGATAAGATCTCTTTTTCCATGATCTTCTTCAGACACTACTTCATTGGAACTATCACCACTGGCTGAATTCCACGGATTCAGAATCCTTCACGGTGGGAGTGTGGCTGTTAGTCTGGACGATAAGAATAGTGACGCCCACACCCAGACCCCACAGCCACACAACCACACAGACACAGACATCCACACCCACCCACCCACACCCACGCCCACACCCACACTCTCGCCCACACCCACACACTCGCACCCACCCCACACCCACACCCACACCCACACCCACCCACACCCGTACCCACCCACACCCACACATCCACACCCAAATCCACACACCCACACCCACACCCACACCCACACCCACACCC